TTGTTTGGATCGGATCTGTTACCTATTGGCTTCTCGAAAGGTTGCGGCGTCCTGTTCCACAAAGAAGCATGGACTCTTAAGTTAGTGTGAAGGCCAGGGACTGAAGCACGGCCTTGGGCTGGATGTGGGCCTCTGGCCTTACGTAGCATCTCATTGCACTCCTCCACTCTCTTGGCTAAGTCCATTAGGCCCAATCCTTTGGGCTGGGCCATGCGGACCTTGGCCCTAATCTCAGGCTTAAGTCCATTAATGAAATTTCTTTCCTGGATTGGGTCGGGTATATCCACCAACGAAGCCACCAAGAGTTCAAACTGCCGGCGATATTCATCCACCGTTCCTTCTTGACATAGAGCAAGGAATTGCTCATATGTCGTACCTTCTTGTGTTGGTCGGAACCGATCTTGGAACATCGTCTTCAAATCCTGCCAATCTCAGATTGCTTGTCTCCCATCGGCCCACTGAAACCATGCTAGGGCATCCATCAAGATTAATGACAGCAGTGTCCAGCTTCTCTACCTCAATCAAGCGATTCATGTTAAATATCGCTCTGCCCGGAAAACCCAGCCGTCGGGGTTGTTATCGTCAAAGACCGGCATCTCCAATCTCCGCCCTCTTCCTTCGTACTTCCAATCAGTCTCTCGATTTTCGCCGCTCCGATCTGTCTCCCCTGCTGAGAACGACGATCTGTAGGGGTGAGGATCCTCCGAAAGCTCCTGTCGGCTACCCTTCGACGCCTTCTGCAATTTCAGCCACATCTCCAACTTCACGTTGAGTGCGGCCATTCCTTTCTCCAGCTCTGCCAGCTTTTGCGAATCCCCCTTAACAGATTCTATCTCGCCCTGGATGTCTCCCCGCACAGTACATCTACTCTTCCATGATATTCCTAGCCATTCTCCAACCTTCTTTGCAGCCATGCTCTCCAAATCGTGACGCTCTGATACCAAATTGATACAATCTGGATAGTTTGAAATAAGAATGGAAAAGATTCTAGGCAAGAATGAGCTAGAATTTGCTTTGTTCTATATTAACTTCAGTGAAAACGCATACAAAGTAAAGGATAAATTCGCAGACTATTAGAGAGGTATGCTAGCTCTCCCTCCTAACCAGTCTCTTCTGACTAACTAATTGCCTACCTCCACCTCTCTTCCTCTCTTCTTTTATCTCACGCTCACAACAAAAATAACATAATTGCCTAACAAATTCTAACAACCTACACAATCCCGAGGCGACCTTCTAACCAACTTTCTCCTCGAGAATTCCTTCAACAACTTGCACAAAATCCCCTTCTTGCCTTTGGGCTTTCGTATGGGCCTTCGGTCTCCTAGCATAAGTGAATCGGACTGGGGCCTTAACACTTTTTTATCATAATGAAATTGTAACTCCGCCTATGCATTTGTATAACCGGTCCCGAGCCCGGGTAAAAGAGGAGGGTTGCAGCAGGTTGACGGCAAGCGTAAAAATAAGTCACTCTCATGGATTTCACTCACATAGAATTTGTTGGAGCGTTCCCTACATGCGACGCGCTATGTCGAGCCCCAGGTATAGTGTTAAATAGGCAAGGGGGGTCTTCGCACATTCATGGACATGTGCGGGGGGAAAAGCGAGCCCATGCGCCGTGTCAGGCCCCAAATATGGTGAAAAATATGCAAGGGGGTCCTTGCACATTCATGCACGTGTGCAAGGGGCAGAGCTAACCCATGATAGGAAAATTCGTTTAGGTAGTTGGAATGTAGGTTCTTTAACTGGTAGATCTATGGAGTTAGTAGATATTATGGTAAGAAGAAAAATTAACATTTTATGCTTACAAGAAACGAAGTGGACATGAGAGAAAGCAAAGGAGATTGGAAATTTAGGACACGAGTTATGGTATACAAGTTGGGAAAGGAATCGCAATAGAGTTGGTATTCTAGTGGATAACATTGTGAACGATGACGTAGTTGAGATTAAGCGAATAGGGGATAGAATTATTATGCTCAAATTGGTACTAGGAAATAAGTTCATCTATGTAATTAGTGCTTACGCTTCACAAATAGGATTGGATGCGGAAACTAGTCAAGTTCTGAGAAGACATAAATGACTTAGTGTGTCGTATAGGCAATGAGGATAGCATTTTCATTAAATGAGATTTCAATGGGCATGTTGGTCAGGATAGGGAAAACTTCGAAAGGATCCACGGTGGTTTTGGTTTTGGAGCTCGAAACGAAGAAGGAAAATCTATTTTGGAATTTGCGCTGGGACATGATTTTATCATAACAAACACATTTTTCAAGAAAAGAGATTCCCACTCGATCACTTTAAGAATGGGAGGAACTTGAGCCAAATAGATTATTTTCTCACAAGGTATAAAGAACGTTCTAAATATAAGAATTGTAAAGTAATTCCTGGAGAAGTACTAGCCACCCAACATAGGTTAGTGATCTTAGATGTGAACATTAAGCTTTGCTATAGAAGAACTAAGATAAACCACCTCCCACGAACTCGTTGGTGGCATTTGAAAGGAGTAAAGCAATTGGCCTTTAAAGAGAAGTTGTTAGATGAGGCTACTTGGTCACATATAAATGATGCAAATACTCTGTGGGATGTCATGGCCAGCTGCATTAGAAAAGTGGTAAAGGAGGTACTAGGGGAATCTAGAGGTAAAGGCCCCCCTGGGAAAAAAACCTGGTGGTGGAGTGAGGAAGTTCAAAAGGCTATTAGGACCAAGAGAAATTTTATATAGAGATTTACCAAAGCGTAAGGATGTTAAAACTTTTAATAAGTACAAATAAGCGAAGAAAGAAGCTAAGCGAGCAGTTGGTAAGGCTCGTTTTACTTACCTAGATGAGGTATATAGGAAACTTGGGATTAGAGAAGGAGAGAATGATATATATAAACTAGCTAGGATAAGAGAAAGGAAGTGTCGGGACCTAAATCAAGTGAGATGTGTTAAGGATGATACTGATCAGGTTCTGACAAAAGATAAAGACATTAGAGAAAGGTGGAGGAGTTACTTTCAGAAGCTTTATAATGATGATCATGCGATAGAGTTTGACAATCTTAAGTCACAAGGAGAACCTAATGTGATGTATACAAGAGGAATCAGAGTCTCAGAAGTTAAAACGGCACTACAGAAGATGAAAAAATGGAAGGCATGTGGACCAGATGATATTCCAATAAAGGTTTGGATGGCGTTAAGAGATGCTGAAATTGTGTGGCTCACTAAGCTTTTTAATGAGATACTAAAAAAGAAGCACATGCCTGATGCATGGAGGAAAAGTATTATTGTCCTCATCTTCAAGAATAAAAGAGATGTGCTGAATTGTAACAATTATAGGGCCATAAAATTAATAAGCCACACTATGAAACTTTAGGAGAAACTTATCGAAAGGAGATTAAGGGCCACAACTACCATCTCAGGTAACCAATTTGGCTTCATGCCAAACAGATCAACCACGGAAGCTATTTTTCTTCTTAGGATGCTGATGGAAAGGTACAGAGAAGCCAAGACGGACCTACATATGGTCTTTATAGATTTAGAAAAGGCATATGATAAGGTGCCGAGCGAAGTTTTATGGTGGGCGATAGAAAAGAGAGGTGTACATGTGAGGTATATCAAGGTAATTAAGGACATGTACGATGGGGTGGTCACGAGTGTGAGAACTGTCGGAGGCTACACGGCAGAGTTCCCCATTCGGATCGATTTTCATCAAGGATCTGCTCTTAGTCCTTTTTTACCATCGTGATGGATGAGTTGACAGGAGAAACCCAAGATAAAGTTCCTTGGTGTATGCTTTTTGCGGACGATATAGTTTTAGTTGATGAACATAGGGAAGGAGTTAACCGTAAGTTAGAACTACGAAGACAGACTCTCGAGACGAAAGGATTTAAGTTAAGTAAGATGAAAACTGAATACACGCATTGTAGGTTTAGTAACTCAAGTAATCAGAGTGGTGGAATTTCTTTAGATGGTGTGGAGATTGGAGCTTTTAGGAAGTTTAGGTATCTTGGATCTATAGTGCAGTACGAATGAGATATAGAAGAGGATATTCAACATAGTATTAAGGCAGGGTGGGTTAAGTGGAAGAATGTTACGAGAGTTTTATGTGATGGCAAGATGCCTATTAAGTTGAAAGGAAAGTTCTATAGGACTGCAATCCGCCCAACTATGTTATATGGTAGTGAATGTTGGGCCATTAAAAGACAACATATATGTAAGATGGGTGTGGCAGAAATGCGTATAATAAGATGGATGAGTGGCCATACGAGAATGAATCGCATAAAGAATGAAGTTATTCGGAGTAAAATAGGTGTAGCACCAATAAAAAGATAAAATGCACGAAGGCCGCTTGAAGTGGTACGGGCATGTCCAACATAGACCGCTAGAAGCACTAGTTCGTGCTTAGGAGGATATTCTTATACCTAATACTAGGAGAGAGAGGGGTAAACCAAGAATTACGTGGACTGAAATAGTTAGGAAAGACATTCTAGATTTAGGCCTTCAGGAAAGTTTAATTTCGAACAGAACTGCGTAGAAAAGTGAAATCCATATAGCCAACCCCAATTAAATTAGGATTAAGGCTTCTTGTTGTTGTTGTTGTTGTTGATCATAATGAAATTGTGCAACAACTAAAAACTGGAGTAACTCATATGTGAAATTGAAATAAGGACCACTTTCTATCGCCACCTGCCGATGTAATATTATCGTAATAGTTACAAACTTATAAGGGGGGGTAAGCATGGATAAAAGATTATTGAACAAATCCCAACTGACGTTGGCATGGACAAAGTTTTCTTTTTGTAAGGAATAAAATCAAGATTGAAAAATCAATTATGTTGGACATGGACGTCTAAGTAACAAACTTAAATCACGCCTAAGATTGTAAAGCATAAAAAGATCACACAATTCAATGGAAGAAAAGGGGGCAAAAAAGACGACTCGAATCTGTAATATAAAAAATATTAGGGGCACAATATAATTAACACAAATCTGAGATAGAGAGAGAGAGAGAGAGAGAGCTGACCACCAATAAGCGGGCTTGGTGAAGGTAACGTTCCAAACCCTGACGTTCCTGCAACCGACGAATCCAACCAACCTAGGACGACACTCGTCGCCGGAGCAAGCGCCGGTGCGGTTCCAGCTGACCATGACGTTCTTCCGCTCATCAAACCTCTCAACGAAGGCCAATCCCTGGCCGTCGACGGCGCCGCCTCCGGTGATCCCGACGTCGCTGGCGTTCTCCGCCAGCACCACGTACCACCGCGACCGCTCCCCCGGGTAGTCCTCGATCCTCGCGCCGCCAAGGATCGTCGCGCCCTCCCGGACGTCCAGAACTATGCCGGACTTGAGGTGGATCGTCGCCGTCAGGAACGTCCCCGGAGGAAACGACACGAGGCAGGCGGTCCGAGCGGGACACGCGTCGATGGCGGATTGGATTGCGGCGGTGTCGTAGTGGCGGCCGTCGCCGGTGGCTCCGAAGTTGGTGACTAAGAAGGTTGGCGACGTGTCGGAGAGGGATTGGACCAGGGAGAATAGTGGGAAGAGATGGAGATATAAGAGGATTCTCCCTCTTCTAGCCATTTTTGCTTTGGGAATATTTGTTTGTTAGTTAGGTCTCACGACTCTGGATTTCAATAAATTATTACTTATCTATTATTATTATTATTATTATTACTACTACTATTACTGCTATTATTTATCGGTAAATCTTATCTTAAGTTGGGAAAATTTTGATGAAAACAAAATGTTGCGCCGAGTACATGTCATGATGGCATTGCCGTTGTAGACTTGTTGGTGGTCGAGATGGGAATAGGATGGATAAGAAATAGATGTTATGACAATTGCCAATTAATAATATTATTGTAGTTAGACTTTTTTTTTAATTCGTTCATTTAAATTTTTAATTTGAGTTATATGTGATTTTATATGAGAATTTTTTATTGTAATAAAAAAATTAAATGTGATTTTTTTAAAAAAAATTTACTATAAGAAAACTCAAATTATAAACTTAAATCAGTAAAATAAATGGGATCTTAATGTAATTTTTATCCCACTCTCTTTTTTATTTTATTTTGTTTTATTTTTTTCAAGAAAAAAAGAATTATTTACATTTTTATGCTTCACATTTAAATTTATTTATAAAATATACTTTTAATTTTTAATCTCATCAAATACTATCTTCACATTAAATTTAATAGGCAAATCCAAACCTTATATCAATCAAAACTCATATTTTACCTCCTAATACTAGTGTTAGAACTTTAGACGGGCCGCCCGCGACCGCCCGAAAAGCCTGAGTTGTTACCCGAGCCCGAGCCCGAGCCGCCCGAGAAATTCAGGCCGCCCGCCCGAGCCCGAATTTCACCTTGAACGGGCGGCGGACTTGTATTAGGCCACCCGAGCCTGGCCGGGCGGCCCGAGCCCGCCCTAATTGCCCGAATTATTTAAACTTTTTTTTTAATATTAAGTTATTTTGTGTTAAAATTTATATCTATATATATATTACAATTTGAAATGAACACACGAACTATATAAAAAAAATTATTTCTTTATTAATTTTTAAATTTATAATTCATTATTGTCTCGTTAAAAACCTTACCAAGAAAAACCCAATTGGGAAAAAAACTTGACAAGGAAAAAAGAGTGCAATCATTTTGTGACGAATTACAAATTGTACAAACTTATATTGTTTATTAAATTACAAATACAATGTAAAAAGTAAATATATATTTACAAATTACAAATTTATAATTTAATTTTGAGCTGAGGGATCGTCTTCAAAATTAAATGTTAATCGATTAAATTCATCGATCCATTCTTGACTTGCCGGTGAAATTGTATCTTGTAGAAGTTGATCGGCCCGATCCCAATCCTTAATGCAAACTAAGGCTTTAACAATATCCCTTTGTAATGCATTCCGGCGTTCCTCAAGTATTCTTCCTGTCGTACTGAAAGCTTGTTCGGGTGAAACAATGGAGACTGGGATTGAAAATATATCCATTGCCAATCAAGTTAGGATTGGCCAAGTTAATGCCCGTGCCCTCCACCATTGAACTAAGTCAAACAATTCTGCCGCACTGCTGACTACTAAGCCTTCACTGAGGTACGCCATAAGCTCGTTGAAGCTGCTGCTGCCACTGCCACTTGCTGATGAATATCCACTTCCACTCACAGCTTCCATTTGAGTTGTCTTCTTCTTCTTCTTTAACCCGAAAACATTCAAGAATGAATGCAGGTTTTCATCTTGTTGTTGCAGTTCCTGTACTCTAGAGTTTGTGCTTCTAAACTTAATCTCATATTTACTATAGATCTCATATATTTTCGCCTTTATTATTGAAAATTAGTCTATACAAGTGATGCCTAAAAATTCACCTAAGTTTTCTAAACCACTTTCTAATCCGTCTAATTTTAATCTCGGATCAAAAATTGTACCCAAACCATATAACAAAGACAACTTAGACCAATATTTTTTAAATTTATTTTTCATAGAATGAACAGGAACTCCTAAGATTGGGTCCTCCCTATATTCGTGGAATAAAATACTAATTCTTAAAAGTTCTTCTAAAGCTAAAGGTGATGTTGGGTAGTATGTTCCACTAAGTTTTAGAGTAACTTCATGAAACCCACTTAAAAATTGATACAAAACTTCGGCAATTTACCAATCAAATTCATATATATGTCCTACTCTTAATTTTGCACACATATAGTTTGTTATAGCATCCTTATAAGGGATGCATTGTTGAAGCATAATATAAGTTGAGTTCCATCTTATAAGTAAATCTAACGCTAATGCTCTATGAGGTATATTTAATGCTTATAAGAACCTAAATCAATCTTCTTGTCTTTAGTTACTACCTTGAATCCATGCAAGACTATCTCTAATTCTTTTAATGTGATTACCCATTTGTTTTAAACCGGATTTAGCTATTAAATTGCATGACATGCACAACATTGGTGGAAAATAGTATCGTCACCGAATAGACTTAAATCATTTTCAAAAAATTCAATTGCTTTTGTATTGGCACTAGCATTATCTAATGTTATAGCCATTACTTTATCTCTTAATCTAAATTCATCAATTACATTTAAAATTGTGTTATATATTAAATCTGCGCTATGTGATCTTAGAATACATTTAAAACTTAATATTCTCTTATCTAAATCAAATCTTTTAAAGTAATGTCCGGTTACAGCTAAATAATCTTTATTGGCAACGGCAGACCAAATATCTGTCGTTAACGCAATGTACCCGCTAGTCGAGTGTAAAAGGTTTATTTATGCATCTTTTTCTTTTTAAATAATTTTAATAAATCTTTCCTAAGAGTAGTTTTTGAAGTGAACTGTGCATTAGGATTGTGTACAACCTTAATATATCGTTGCCAATTAGGATGCTCTACAAAACTAAGTGGTTGATCTAAAGTAGCTATCATTCGCGCAACTTCCATGCGATCTACTTACGGATTGTATTTCCAAGTGGTTAGACCACCGGTTGCGCGATTAAAAGATAATTGTGTTTGGCGAAGTTCGGGTCCGCTAGATTGGCTAAGCTTTTGAAGACACTTTTCAGAGTGTCGTCTCAAGTGTGTGGTGCCGTGAATAGTGTCACCTTGTAATTTAGATAAACAATATTTACACTGAGCTATATGTTTAGTGTTACCTTCATTATCCACCTCGTCAATTATGTCAAAGTGATCTCAAACTGTCGAGGTACACTTGCATTTTCTCCTGGAGGTTGCAACACTTGCCGACGCAGACGCAGTCGCACTCACCGCTTCTCCACGCCCACCACTACTATTGCGACCACGACCTCCAGTACGTCCACCAGGGCTCAGATTAGTAGATTCTTGCGTAACAAACTCATTAGTGAGAAATTGTCATTCTTCTACATTGTGTTGGGCATCAACGGGAATACTACTATAACCAAAAGGATCCATTATAAAAAAATAAGATGGATTTGAGAAAGAGAGAGCTTTAGGATAATGTGATAGTTTTTAGAAAAATTGTGAGAGAGATTGAGAGAGATTGAGAGAAATTGAGAGGGATTGAGAGAGTTTGAGTGAGAAAAATGTGTGGGGGATGGGGGTATTTATAGGAAAATTTTGGGGTTAAAAAATGATTTTTTTTTAAAAAAAATCAGGATATAACAGCTATTTTTTATTTTCGGGCAGTCGGGCAGATCAAGTTTTCGGGCAGAATTCGGGCAAAAATTCACGTTTTCGGGTAATTCGGGCAGTCGGGGCACCACGGGCAGTTCAGGCACCTCGGGTTTTCGGGTAGAATTCGTGCAAATTTCAAAAAAGTAGCCGTTACATGCATTTCGGGCAGTCAGGTATCGGGCATTTTTCGGGCACACGGCATTTTCGGGCATTTTTCGGGTCGGGCAATTCAGGCAGTTCGGGCATGGTCGGAAAAATTCAAAAAAATTTCGGCGGACGGCGGCGGGCAAAGGAGAAGATGTAAAATTCAGATTGCCCGAACCCGAACCCGAAAATCAACTTTGGGCGGGCGGACAATGGGCTTGCCCGCCCGAGCCCCAAAAAATTTGGGCTTCGGGTAGCCCGCCAACCCGAATTTCCAGTACTGCCTAATACCCAATATAGCCTTGATTAAAAAAAAATCTAACACTAAAAAATCCTCCCTTGACTTCACATCAACGCGACCTTAACCGCTACCCACCCTTACCTCAATCAGATCCACGTCCAAAGTACTCCAGCGGGCAACGAGCACGGCGATGGGAAGGCTTGCGAACTCAGGGTTCTTGGTCGATTAGAGGTTGTGAGGCCACCGAGGTGGTTCCGTCATTGACTTTGATGACGAGAACGGCCATATCAAAGACAGGAAGAGGCTTGTCTCGCTTCTATGTCAGGAAAAGTATGTAGATTGGTTAAAACTAGTCTCAATTGATACTTTTGATGTTTTGGGTAAATTTCTTGCTATGTGATAAAAGATCTGTGAAATTTTGTTAAGTTCAGTTTTTGGGTTTTGAGGGTTGGTTTTAATCTCCGTGATATTTCAAGATTAGCCTAAAAAAAAAATCTCCACGGTGTTTCATATCTGGGTACGTGGTGTCTCTTGGCAAATGGCAAATGTGGGTAATGCCCATGCCAAATCTGGGTAATTTGGGCTGAATTTAAACCAAGTCCATGGTCTGTGTTGGCCACTATTCACCTCCAGAGGCGCTTTTTTCTCAAGTTCATTTTCTTTTCATTTGTGTTTTTAATTGTTGTTTTTTTTATTATTTTGAATTTTCAGTATTTCTTACATTCTGAGGGTAATTTGGACATTTTTGGGTCAAAGACACAAAATGGATGTTGAATGAGAAAAGGGTATAGATTTGTGCATCAAACGTAATGTGATGGTATACATTTGATGCAATTAAAATTCTCGCATTAAAAACCGAGAAAATGATTTTAAAAAAACCTTAAAATAGAAGGTACAAAACGTAAATACCCAAAAGAAAACTACAAGAATGCTGTGAAGGACTTGAGAGAGGGAGAATACTCTGTCTCTATTGCTTAACAAATGACGCAGGAAGTTCCTTGCAGTAGACTATTGCTCTGAGCCCAGGCATCATAGTCCATAATAACATTACAGACAAGAGGCATGAATTCACCAACCAAAATTAAAAGACAAGCATTACAAAACCAAAAACAAGAGATCTTGGGCCCGTTTGTTTGCGTTTTCGTTTTCGTTTT